TCCCCGTGAGTCAGGTGGCCAGCCATAACCAGGACAGAGACTTTGTAAGGAACTTAGCAAGTGTACTTGGGTCTGGAGAGGGAGGCCAAATCCAAGCTCCAGAGTCAAGCTTTCTAGCAAAGTTAGAGACAGGAGCAAACAGAGCAAGCAGGAAAGAAGAGCTAGGTACCCTTGCCTGAGATAGTTGACCTTCCAGGGAAGGTTTTGGGAGGTTCCTAGAGGATTAAGGCTGGTTTCTGACAGACTAGAACCCAGATTAGGGAGATCTGCTTTTCTGGTAAATAGAAACCCAACTAAAGGCTTGTTTACCCGATAATAATCCTTCTGTTTACCCATCCGAACTCCTTGTATAAACTGGCATGACTGCTCCATGGTGTGATTAAGAGGTTTTAATTGTAGATATGAGAGAGAACAGCCAGAGGCATCTGGAAAAGTCCAGAATGGAAGAAGAGAGAAGTGTGAACGTGGCCTGGGCTGTCTGTGAGCGAGGGGAGCAGAGCAGGGCTGGAGGAGAGAGAGTGAGAGTAGCAGGGGATAAGGAGGATGGTTGGTAGCTCAGGGCAGGGAGCCCAGTGAGCTGGAGAGTGTTCTGGTGTGCGACAGGAGGAGCCGGGAGGCCAGCATGGGCTCTGCTGTGCTCATAGGCACCACAGGCAGCCGTATGTCCCTTCTGCCAGTGCTGAGGGAAACGGCTTCTTCTGGTAGATGAGAGCCACTCTCACTAGTTCCTTAGGCTTCTGTCTAACACCGGAAATGCGCTAGTCCAGGTTGAGCTCACTGGACTACTTTTTGGAGTTTGGGGAAATGGAGTTTCTTTTGGTCCTACCATTAACCACACAGGATGGAACCAAGTCTTATGCTGGCTGGGCTGGGTCCTCCCCACTGTGCCACACCCCCAGTCCTACGAAAAGTTTTCTTCTCTTCCCTCTTTGTGCTTGCACATGTGTGTACGTTGCTCTTGTCTGGACTGCAGGTGCATGCCTGATGCCCCACACATCTGGAGGTCTGGAGGCAGCCTTAGTTGTCAGCCATTGCCTTTCAGCCTGTTTTGTTAGAGTCTCTGTTGTTCACTGCCATGTGTCAGCCTCACTGGCCTGCTATCGTCCAAGTGTTCTGTCCTGGCTGCTGTCTTTCCAGGGAAGTATTGGAATTACATGTGTGTGCTACTGCTGCTGTATCTTACATGGGATCTGGGGATTTGAACTTAGGCTTGTATGGCAAGTGCTTATTTCTGGAGCCATCTGCTCAGCTCCCCAGTAAATGTTTTAACTTAACCTTTTAAGAAATTATTTATGTAATTTTTGTATGCAGAGGGGTAGTACAGATGACTGTCACTGTGTATAAATCAGAGGACAATGCAGGAGTCATTTCTCTCCTTCTACCATATAGGTTCTAGGGATCAAATGTAGATTGTCAGACAGCAAATACCTTTACCCACAGAGCCCTCTTACCAGCCCTTAATTTTTAAATGATTTCTTTATTTTTTTATTGTATATAGATTGTTCTGTCTGCATGTATGTATGTGTGAGGGTGTCAAATCCCCTAAAACTGGAATTAAAAACAGTTGTAAGATATAGGGAGTGCTGGGAGTTGAACCTAGGTCCTTTGGGAGAGCAACCAGTGCTCTTAACTGCTAAGCCAACTCTCCAGCCCCTAAATTAAAATTTTAAAACATACTTTAGGAGGAAGTTCATCAGTTAAGAGTACTTGCTGCTTTTCTAGAGATCTAAGTTCAGTTTCCAGCATCCGCATGGCACTCACAGCCTCCTGTGACTTAAGCTCCAGAGGGATCTGATGCCCTTTTCTGGCCTCCATGTGCACCCTCCAAGCATGTTCGCATACATACAGACCACACACACACACAAGTTAAAACAAGCCCAGCTTGGTACACAGAGCAGAGCTGGGTCCCCTCCCTCCTCTCCTGGGCTACAGCTCCTCTGTTTCCTTGGCTTCCAGCTCAGCTAGCGTGTGTGGTCACATCTTGTGCTTGGTGGTTAAATATTTACACTCAAACGCATCACAGATTGGTAGCTTGCAATTCAGAGGGAAAAGAGAACATGACTTCTGAATTGACAGCTCCTTCCTTTAGCCAGCTGGTGCTTTTTGATGGAATTGGAGAAATCAAAGTTATCTGTATAAACTCTGAGGGTGGCCTTTTAGCAGCTTTGCAGATTCAGGGATTCAGGATCTCTCTCTCTCTCTCTCTCTCTCTCTCTCTCTCTCTCTCTCTCTCTCCCTCCCTCCCTCCCTCCCTCCCTCCCTCTCTCCCCCCTCCCCTGTGTTATATGTGCATGGGTTATGAGTGTAGCGTATATGTACATACGTGTGAAGGATGAGGGTTCATTACAATTACCTTCTTCAACTATTCTCTGTGGTTCCCAGGAGTTCCATTTCCTTGAACCTCAGGGGTGTTGAGACGTGCTGCACCCCAGGATGGAGAGGATGGAACAGAGCTGGGTTCCGAGTTCCACTTCTTCCCTTGTAGTATCTGGGCACAGCTACACACTGGATGGGAATGGAGTCCAGAACGAGTAGGGTCTGAAGGATCCGGGTCTGGCAGTGAGGTGTGGGGCAGGAGGCTTCTCCAAGGACTTTAGTGTTACAGCTCTCCTAGACAGTCTTCAGTGAAACAGCTTGTGCATATACACTTTAGTTGCAATGGACAAGGGCTCTATGAACCTTGGAGAGTGAGAAGGGATTTTCGGGATACATGTAAGTCATTGGCTGGAGCCTCGTGTATGGAATGCCCCATTTGTATGGAGAAGATGGTCAACTACTGCAGGTGCTTGCTGAGCAGGGTCTTATCTGGAGAGAGGAAGGGGAACCTGTAAATTTGCCAGGGACTGTGTGACATTCCTTGGGTAGAAGATGTGGGGGTCGGACCCCCCAGATCAGGCAGAGAAGAGGAAGCCCCACTAAGAACAGGGGGTCCTCCATTTTGTGCCAAGACTAGCAGGATCTAACAGCTCTCCTCCTCAGTTTTTAGACAAGTCTCTCAGGGAACCTGGAGCTCAGTGACAGAGCCTGGCTGATGGGAAGCAGGATCCTTCTGTGTTTCCCAGTGCTGAGACTGCAGAGGTGTGCACAGCTCAGCTTTTTCTGTGAGTGCTGAGGCTCTGCACTTCGCCCCTCGTGCTTCCGTCGCAGGCACCTCACCCTGGACCAGCTCTGTTGCCCATTTGAACATTTTTCTTTCACTGGTTATTTTTAGAGCTGAGCATGGTGGTACCTTCATACAATCACAATACATGACAGTCTGCTGCAGGAGAATGCCTAGGAGTTCAGGACTACTGAGGGCTGTCAAGTGAGAACCAGACTAACCTTAGTCATATATACAAGACCTCCTGGTGCTGTTCAGCTATTCTGTGGTTAGTAAGCTGCAGTGCGGCCTCAGTGCTGGAGAGCCACACGCTAGTGTCTGGACTGTGAGCGGCCTCAGTGCTAGAGAGCCATGCTCACTAGTGTCTGGACTGTGGGCTTACATTTAGAATGATGCAAATACAGAAGAGTAGGGGTTTTTTTGTCCCCCAGACTTTTACTATTTACATTACTGTATGTCCATGTATTCATTCCTGTATACATGTGGACATTATGTATGCATGTATGTATGTATGTATGTATGTATGTATGTATGTATGCATGTATTTAAAGGCTTATTGTATTTTTCAGACAGGGAAGGTAGGTTGATAAGATCTTGCCTAACACATGAAGCCCTGGATTCAATCCGCAGCATAAACTGGATACCTGTAATCTCGGCACGGAGAAGGTAGAGGCAGGAAAATGAGAAATTCAAGGTTATCCCCCCATACTCCCATTCATAACAAGTATAACAACCTGGGGACTTAAGACCAAAGCTTAAACAAAAGAGAGAGAGAGAGAGAGCCGGGCGGGGGGGGCGGTGGCGGCGCACGCCTCTAATCCCAGCACTTGGGAGGCAGAGACAGGCAGATAGCTGAATTCGAGGCCAGCCTGGTCTACAGAGTGAATTCCAGGACAGCCAGGACTACACAGAGAAACCCTGTCTCAAAAAAACAAAAAAAAAAAAAAAGAGAGAGAGAGACAGAGACAGAGACAGAGAGAGAGACAGAGAGAGAGACAGAGAGAGATAAGAAGAAGGAAGGAAAAAGGAAAACAGGATTCTCATATTCAGGAAAGAGTGAAGTGTTTTAAATGGCTATCAGCGCTATAGCTCACTAAGCATGTGCTGCTAGAGGGCCCGCAGTACAGCTCAGCAGACAGAGAAGCACTTGCCACACAAGCCTGGGACCTGAGTTTGATCCCAGGACCCACGCAAAGATGGAAGGAGAGCAGTGAGCCCAGAGCTGTCCCTTCTGTGGCCTGCCTCAGGGACAGCTGAAAGTGCTGCTCTCTCTCAGTCCTAGCGCGCAGGAGGGAGAAGCAGACAGTTCTCTGTGAGTTTGCAGCCAGCCTAGTTATAGTGAGAACCTGTCTCAAAGAAAGTTTTTTAAACCCATTTGTGGGGCTGGAGAGATGGCTGAGCAGTTAAGAGCACTTGCTGCTCTTACAAAGGACCCAGGTTCAAATTCCCAGACCCCACGGCGGCTGCTCAGCTGCTCACGCTTCAGGTTTAGGGATCCCATGCTCTCTTCTGGCCTCTATTGGGCACTGGATTCCTGTGGTGCGCATACATACATTACAGGCACTTACATGTGAAATAGAAATCTTTTTTCATTACTTATATTTGTTTTTGGCAAATGCAGACCCAGAGGTGGGAGAGAACCCTCAGAAGTAGTGTCTGCTTGTGCATGTTGGTTATGAGAATTGAGCTCTGGTTGTCAGGGTTAACAGAAAATGCCTCTACCTGCTGAACCATCTCACAGGCTCTACAAATATTCTTTCTGCATTGCTTTTTTCAAAAAGAAGACAATAAAAATATGAACAGTGTTGACTGTTTGCTTGCCAACTGTCTGTTAGCCTGACTCCCTTGAGATAACCAGTACCCTAGCTTGCTGTCTTTAAACTGCCTGTGCTTCTCATAGCCATCTGCATAATCCTGGTGCACCTGCTGATTCGGTACCGACTGCACTTCCTGCCTGAGAGCGTGGCTGTTGTTTCTCTAGGTAAGTGATACTGGGGGTCCATTCCAGACCACTGTAAACATACACAATGGAGCTGTCTCTCTGGGGCCACCTCAGCGCCACCTCTGTAAGAGATGCCATGCTGTCCCAGTTCCTGTTACCGTTTAGCAGCTCGCCACAAGGCCGGGAGGTGACAGAGAGGCCCATCCACCACCCAGAGGCTCCTCAGCCTCCTGCTTCTCACCACCCCCAGGGTACAGTGACCGGCTAGGCCATGGCAGTGTCCAGCCCTATTGAAGTTGATGGTTGGCATTTAGCTGATGGGGCCACTGTCACAGCTAGACGGGCCCTGTTTTTTTTTAATAGCTCTAAGATGACAAATGGCTTCTATAGCACCAGAGCCTGCACTCCTCCCTCTTCCCCCCGCCCCCCCCCACACCTTGGTTATCCTGGAACTCATAGAGACCTGCCTACCTCTGACTTCCAAGTAATGGAAGTGGGTTAAATTTGTTGTTTTGTTCCTGTTGCTGTCTCATCTAAGTCACTCCTACAGGTAATACTGTTTTAAGAACGATGCTATGGTTTGGTTGATCCTGTGGACAGAGGAAACCCTGAGTCTGTCAAGTTAGCAGGTCCTTTAGATGCTAATGTTCTTAGCTAACTAGAGAGTTCTTTGAACTCTAGGTGGGAGAGCATTCTGAAGCTTTCCTTCCTGCTTCCTGCTTGCAAAAGCCTGCAAGAGAGGCTAGCACCTAGTACTCTGGGACTTCTCGGTAAAGAGTTATAAAGCTGCTTCAGGGAATTTACAGCTCTGAGAATAGTTTTACCATTTATTAAAAATAAATATTGGGGAATTGGAAAGATGTCTCAGCAGTTAAGAACACAGGCTTCTTTTCCTGGGATCCCGGTTCAAGTCCCAGCACCCACACCGTCCCTTGACTTGTCCGTTGCTCCAGTTCTAACAGAGCTGACATCCTCTCTGGCCTCTTTGGGAACCGGGATCCGCACACAGACATACATGAGGACAAAATACTCTCATTCACATAAAATAGAAATAAAAAGTTAAAAAAGAGACGAAGAATAAATATTGGGCCAAGAGAACTCAGGAGACAGGGGCAGGCCGATCTCTGTGAGTTCAAGGCCATCCTGGTCTACTGTTAATCCTGAGATTGACCAGAGAAAAACTCAGCAAGCAATTCTGAGACAAATTTGAAGCAAACTTTAATCAAATACTGGCCAGGACGGGCTTTGGTCAGGGCCATTATCTGGAATTCTTAGCTGAGTGGCGATTTCAGGACAAGTCACATGGCCACCACGTTTTTCCAGAGCTACAGCTCCCCACGTTCCAGAAAGTTACCTGGTCCTTGGGCAGGTGGGTAGGTTAACTTTAGGTCTTACACTGTGTAAGTTCCAGGACAGGGCTATATTAGGGTTACCCTGTCAAAAAAGAAAAGGAGGAGGAGAAGGAAAGAAGGAATAATAATAATAATAATAATAACAGGGACTGGAGAGATGGCTCAGTGGTTAAGAGCACTGACTGCTCTTCCAGAGGTTCAGAGTTCAATTCCCAGCACCCACATGGTGGCTCACAACCATCTACAATGAGATCTGATGCCCTCTTCTGGTGTGTCTGAAGACAGCTACAGTGTACTCACATAAAAAAAGAAATGATAACAACAATTGGCTCAGTGGTTAAGAGCATTGGCTGTTCTTGCAGAGGACCTAGACTCCAGCAAACATATAGCAGCTCACAACCATCTATAACTCTGTTCTAGGAGCTCTGGTATCCTCAGGCAATAGGCGTGCATGTG